ACTGTGGCTACGGGGACTCCAGGGAGGGTTTGCCAAACTGCATGGGGACCTTTCAGCACATTCTCTGCGTGACCAATGGCCGGAACAGGGCCACAATGCCTGTCCTTGCCCATCTTGGACCCACTGTCCATCCAGGAGCATTCGACCCCAGCAAGAATTGAAGTGTCAAGAGAGCTGCCACAAAGTGTTCATCAGGATCACCAAATGCCACTGGACTGCCTCCCCATAGTCTTCGAGGTAAGGTGGGAAAGAGATCTCAGAGCCCTTTTAAGAATCCAGAATCCTTTTTTTCCCTTGAGTTTCCATCTAGATTTCTTCTCCAGCACCAAAACTCCCTTGGATCACTGCTGTGCTGTGCCATGTGGGTGCCCAGGCTGGGAGGGTTGCCTTGAAGCATCTCAAAAAATTAATAAATTAATCTCTGAGCTCTTTTTCCCATGTTGTGCTGAGCCAGAGCAAGCCAGCCAGGTCCCTTAGCTTCCCTTGCTCCTGAAGGATCTTGAAGGTCTCTGAAGATCTCTGGTAAATGGGATTTATACCTCAGCCCCATCTGAAAGTGAATCCAGATGACCCCTGGGCAAGAGCCCTTCCCTTTGTAGCTGCCTTGGGCACCCTGCCACATCTCTGTTCCTCTCCTCTCCCATCAAATCCCTGCCCCGCAGCCAGCGGTTTCCAGACAGCTTCCAGCTTCCAAAACTCAAGAAATTCCTCACAAAATGCTAGTGGTGTTCCCCCAGGACACAGGAACCCCCATGCTCACCCTTCCTGCCCTGCAGCAGCCAGGCCAAATCTGGCCATTTCCACTCCATATTACATCCCTCACATCCTGCCACCTGTACCGACTTATTTCAGGGGGAAAAAAAAATCAACCCAAGGGGTAGATTATTTTGGGGCAGGGGAAAGCAGCCACCTCTGAGGCCACCCCCAAGTTTCGAGGAGCTCTGCAGGTATTTGCAGCATGGGCAAATCCCCTGGGATTAACGATCCAGGAAAAGGCGAAAGGTGGTGGGGAGCAATGGCTGAACTGTAGTGAGCTACATGGTCACCCCTCCCTCAGGGGACTTGGTATCATTTTGGGGTGCTTGCTGAGGCGGATAATCCCAGCTCCTGCTTCTTCTGCTCCTTCTTTTACTTTTCATTTTAACAAAACAGCCAGTGTGGGCCCTTTCACCATGAAATCATCATGCTCCAGAGCATTCCCACTCCCTTCCTCCCCCATTTTCTCTCCTCCACGCCAAGAAATCTGCTCCCCCCACAGCCGCTGCATGAGGACACCCCAAACGCGGAGTTACCACTGCAACGGCAGCCTGGAAGCGAACCCCGGTCAAAAGCGAAGTGACCCATCCTGGGGCTGTGGGTCTGGGACACAAACTCGGGGTGGTCAGATAGAAACATTCTCGCGCTCCCAGCCTCGCACACGCTCGGGGTATCCCGGGATTGCAATGAATCCCCTTGGAGAAGGGCGGCAGCGTGGCCGTGGCGGTGGCGGTGCGGGGGGAGGTTGCCTTGGCCACGCATCCCTGTGTGAATGCATGACGCGCGCAGCGCTGGCGCCAGGCTGTCTGGGGCCGGGAGTTAGATCAACACAGCTGGAGGGCCCGGGCCACAGCTGGGCAAAGGCAGCGGGTCCGCCGCCCAGGCAGGGCCGCTGGGAACCGCCGCCAACAAAACCCCCCTGCAAACAAAAGCTTCCCCTCCCCGTCCCTCTGAAGCCTTTCAGCGCCCCCCCCGCCCCCCGCCATCCCTTGGGAAATGAGAGGGGGTGTATGGGAATAAGCAGAGGCTGTACACTGCTGTTTTGTATTGAGGGGAAGTCATAAGAAGGATTCAGGTGGTGGTCTGAAAAGAGTTTCTAAATGTTTTGTAAACATTTTAAAACTCGGTGTTAATTCCATTAAGTTTTACATTTACCATGTATTTTTAAAATATATTTAATTCTTTTTAATTATTTTATAACTTTATTTTGTT